ATTCCTGCTCCCCAGCCCCCTTCACTGCTGCTACAGGAGAGGGATTCCTGCCCAGAGCCCCCTGCCCAGCACCATGGTGGGGCAGAGCCCCCAAGGGCCCAGGGAGGGCAGACCTGCTGTCCTGCTGGAGCCCTTCATCCACCAGGTTGGTGGCCACATGAGCATGATGAAGTATGATGAGCAGACAGTCTGCAAGCCCCTGGTCACACAGGAGCTGAGCTTCTACGAGTCGCTGCCCTTGGCCATGAGGCAGTTCACACCCCAGTACAAAGGTAAGGGGAGATGCTGGGGGAGGAGCTGAGGGGCTGGTGGTGTCACCAGGACTTGTCCTGAGGTTGGGACAAGGGCTGGTGGAACCAGGGAGGGGCTGGGGCTGGGTGTGAGCTGTGGAGCCCCATCCCTTGGGCAGGTTGTGCTGAGCAAGGGACAGTCCCTGGGGGAGAAGTCTGTGAAAGTGGGAGGGTTTCCTGGGTCTCTGTGGAGTCTGATGTCTGATATATGCTGGTTGGTGGCATCAGGAGATCCTCCCTCTGTCCATCCCCTTGCTGCCTTGGTCAGCCTGGGTGACACAGGGGACCCTCATTACATTAAATAGAGGTGACATTGTTCTGTTCTTGAGGTGGGGGGAAGGCATGGGAAGATGGAGGCTGACAGCATGAACAGGAGCCTTTCCTGGGCAGCACAGGAGCAGGACAGAGAGGGCAGCCTGAAAAACCCCAGGACAAGGGGCAGGAGCAGGATGGGGTTTCCTTTCCCACCAGTGTTTTCTTTGAGGACTTTGCAGGCTGTGGTTGGGCTGCTGGCAAAGAAATGGCAGCACTGAATAGGGGCAGGGAAGCAGGGGCTGGGGGAGTCTTGTTCCAAACAGCAGCCCCATGATCTGACACGTGATGCATTTATGTGAATTAGCATCCCCTGATAAGAAAGGTTTTCTGTACCAGAGTAGGGCTGGTGGAGGCAGAAAAGCTGTTGAGGGCAAGGGAAGGGTCAGGGTTGGCAGTAGCACAAGCTGAGGGGCCATCATGAAATACTGAGCCTGAAAAACCAGCCCAGGGGTGTCTTAAGCATCCCTTTAGCTGGTGCTCCCCCCAGGGCTCTGGTCCTTGGAAAACCAGAGGCACAAACCAACTGAAGTTCTTGAGAATCCCATCCAGGCAGCTGTCCTGCCTCAGGCCAGACCAGGCTGGGAGAGCTGGGGAGTTCAGCCTGGAGAAGAGAAGGCTCCAGGGAGACCTTAGAGCACCTTCCAGTGCCTGAAGGGGCTCCAGGAAAGCTGGGGAGGGACTTTTCATCAGAGAGGGCAGAGATAGGACAAGGGGTGATGGTTTTAAGCTGAGAGAGGGGAGGTTTAAGTTGGACATCAGGGAGAAATTCTTCACCATGAGAGTGGTGAGAGCCTGGCCCGGGTTGCCCAGGGAAGCTGTGGCTGCCCCATCCCTGGCAGTGTTGAAGGGCAGGTTGGATGGGGCTTGGAGCAGCCTGGGCTGGTGGGAGGTGTCCCTGCCCATGCAGGAACCTGATGATCCTGAAGGCCCCTTCCAACCTTCACCATTCTATGATTCTATGGTTCCATGATTTCCAGGATGGGGCAGATCCTCCCTCCTGCCCCTCCAAAGGTGCTCCCATCACTGCCTAGTCCCCCCTGTCCCTAACTCTCCCTGCCCTGAACTCCTTTCCCAGCTGAATTTCTCAGCTGAGCTACTGAAAACCAGCCCTTGGTGCCTGTGGGGGTCCTGGCATTTTTTAAAAACCATCCTCCCTCCCTTTTTTTTCCTATTCCCTCCCCATTTCTGTTCTTACTGCCAGTCTTGTGCTGCTCATAAAGCTCCTGACCCTGGAATTTGGAGAGAGGCAAGAGGCTCAAGCTGTCTCCTAAAAACCTAAAATATCTTCTGGTCCTTCAGTGTCACAGAAAAGAGCTCCAGGTGGCAGCCACAGCTTCCATGTGCTTCCAATCCAATCTCTTCCTTTCCCAGAAAGTCAGAGGCCTTTGCAGATTTATGGGATGACACTAAAATGATGCTGAAGAAAGAAAACAAGTTTTCCTCTTGGCAATTTTCTTTAGCAGGGGCCAGGGATTGGTGCTGGAGAGCTGGGCCCTGCTCTGCCTCTCTGATATAAAGATGTTAAATGGTCCCAACTTATCAGCTCAGGGTTGGTCCAGTTATTAAAACCTTTTAATCTTCTTTTCCTCTTCCATTGCAATTTTTGCAATGAGAGGTAATTAAATAGCAATTCCTCTCCAGTTTGGTATTTGGCATACACATTTTTTGGAGTCATTATTCTACTTAGAACTGTCCCAGCCCTGAATAGCAGATGAATGAAAGAGGTGGAATAATATCCCAGGAGGGATGAGCATCCCAGGGAACAATCCAGAGGTCTTCATCACCCCTTCATGTGTCCATGTTCCTCATCTCTATTCCTGGGGGTGTTGGGGGTTGCCTTGGGGACCATTATGATGTGCTGACATTCTGTACAGTGTTGATCAAATGTCACCATTCCCATCTAACACCCAGTTAGCAGCTTAAAAATAAATAATGCCTGCAGCTCATTTAACCACTTCAAGTAGGTTGGTGACCTGGGGACCAGCTCTACCTCACCCCAACTCCTTGCAAACCTCTCTCTGTTCCAGCACAGCTTGTGAGGGGATGCAAGACTTGTTTTCAAGCCCAGTTCTGCTGAGACTCCTATTGCACATGGCAGTGAAGAAATGCACTTGTAAACTTAAAAATAAACCCATGAGGGAAGAGCTGCATAGCAAAATGCTCCTGAGATCACTAGGATGCCATGAGCGTGGTGACAGCACCCATAAATACCCACTGGCTGCTTCACTGGTGCCAGCAGGAGGGGGGTTGTGGCTTTGCTGGGACTAAAGGGACAAAAGAGACACATAGACAGGCTGAGGGAATTGGGGGTGTTCAGCCTGGAGAAGAGAAGGCTCCAGGGAGACCTTAGAGCACCTTCCAGTGCCTGAAGGGGCTCCAGGAAAGCTGGGGAGGGACTTTTCATCAGAGAGGGCAGAGATAGGACAAGGGGTGATGGTTTTAAGCTGAGAGAGGGGAGATTTAAGTTGGACATCAGGAAGAAATTCTTCACCATGAGGGTGGTGAGAGCCTGGCCCAGGTTGCCCAGGGAAGCTGTGGCTGCCCCATCCCTGGCAGTGCTGAAGGGCAGGTTGGATGGGGCTTGGAGCAACCTGGGCTGGTGGGAGGTGTCCCTGCCCATGCTGGGTGTTGCAACTGGATGATCATGGAGGTCCCTCCCAACCCAAACCATCCTATGATTCTATGACAAGCACCTAAATCCATTTTTGCTCCCAGAGAGACGTTTTCTTCTTGCAATAGACAAGCAGCTCGTGTCACAGATGTGTTTTGCACACTTGGGTCAGTTGCAGGACATTTGCAAAACCCGTATGGAAGCACATCAGGGAGAAAGAAAAGTCCTTTTCAGGCTGAGGTGTAGGTTTCTGAAGGTAGTTTCCAGCTGGAAGGAGGGACAGGATCACATCCTCTTGCAATTGAACAGCTCATTCTTGCCTTTGAAAATCTCCCCGTTCATTTTCATATTAATGCAAGATCAGACAGGCTGAGGGAATTGGGGGTGTTCAGCCTGGAGAAGAGAAGGCTCCAGGGAGACCTTAGAGCACCTTCCAGTGCCTGAAGGGGCTCCAGGAAAGCTGGGGAGGGACTTTTCATCAGAGAGGGCAGAGATAGGACAAGGGGTGATGGTTTTAAGCTGAGAGAGGGGAGATTTAAGTTGGACATCAGGAAGAAATTCTTCACCATGAGGGTGGTGAGAGCCTGGCCCAGGTTGCCCAGGGAAGCTGTGGCTGCCCCATCCCTGGCAGTGCTGAAGGGCAGGTTGGATGGGGCTTGGAGCAACCTGGGCTGGTGGGAGGTGTCCCTGCCCATGCTGGGTGTTGCAACTGGATGATCATGGAGGTCCCTCCCAACCCAAACCATCCTATGATTCTATGACAAGCACCTAAATCCATTTTTGCTCCCAGAGAGACGTTTTCTTCTTGCAATAGACAAGCAGCTCGTGTCACAGATGTGTTTTGCACACTTGGGTCAGTTGCAGGACATTTGCAAAACCCGTATGGAAGCACATCAGGGAGAAAGAAAAGTCCTTTTCAGGCTGAGGTGTAGGTTTCTGAAGGTAGTTTCCAGCTGGAAGGAGGGACAGGATCACATCCTCTTGCAATTGAACAGCTCATTCTTGCCTTTGAAAATCTCCCCGTTCATTTTCATATTAATGCAAGATCCTGAAGAACTCTTTAGTTTCACACTATCTAGAACATTTTTTTGGGGCCAGATTGTCAGCACTATGTAAATCAGCCCAGCTCCATTGACTTGCAGATATGGAACTGGGACAGTTTTTAAGGTTACAGGCTGCTCCAGCACCACAACTGTGGTGGAGAACTAGATTTGGAATCCAGGACTCTGTTTGCCTCCCAGTGAGTTTTTTTAAAAAGAAAAAGGCTTTGATTTAGGCAAAAGATACTCTGGCTTTGTGTTTGGGGTTTTTTTGCCTCCCTCCCCTGAAAATTCAAAGCAGGCAGCTGAGCTGATCAGAATTTCTCTTGCTCTCAGGTATCTGAGATATGGATTTTTTTATACGAAAGATCAGCTGGGTAAGGCTGGAGAAAAACAGAGCTCAGCAGCACCAGGAGCAAAGGACTGAGATAGCTAAAAATATGACTTGCCCCCTAATTAAGGTTTGCAGCCCTCCCAGCTCCCTTGGCAGAGCAGCCTCTGTGTGTTCCTCCTCCACTGCAGTGCAGAATGAGCTGATTGAATGGAGCCTGCCATGGCTGCTTGGATTGATGCTGAGCTCACATCAAAAGGGAGCAGAAATGGTGGTGGTGGCTGAGCTGTATGGAGGTCGGAGGGAGGTTCTGGGGTGCAGGAGCCAGGGAGGAAGGAGCACCCCCAGGTTAACAGGGGGTTCCACAGGGTGGACACCTTCCTCAGTCAGGACAACTCAGCAGGCAGGATTCTGCACAGAGGGAGGGCACAGCCTCGTGTCTGTGTTTGCTTTCTCTAATCTCACTTCAGATGGAGAGGAAGGAGGTTGTGTATTTATTTGCTTTGGCAAATGTGCCTGGGAGAGCAGAGCTGCCTGGTTTGAGCTGCTGAAACCACCTCCCTGCAGTGCCCAACAGCCCCAGCGAGGATGCCCTGGGGACACTTAGATAAAACTCAGCCCCACATGTTGTTAACAGGGGGGAATCTTCCCAACGAGGAGTTTTGCTGGTCCATCAGCCTTGGCCATCCTCCTTTGGCTCTGCCTGGGTTGAAAGCAGCAGGGAATTGCTGCGGGCGATGTCCCTGCCGAGCCCCAAGGGGTGATGCTCTAAAAATGCCTCTGCTGCCTGGGGGGGGCTGAGACAGCCCTGCCAGCCCCGCAGGAGCAGAACAGCCCTTATCAGCCTTTCCAACGAGGAGTTTTGCTGGTCCATCAGCCTTGGCCATCCTCCTTTGGCTCTGCCTGGGTTGAAAGCAGCAGGGAATTGCTGCGGGCGATGTCCCTGCCGAGCCCCAAGGGGTGATGCTCTAAAAATGCCTCTGCTGCCTGGGGGGGGCTGAGACAGCCCTGCCAGCCCCGCAGGAGCAGAACAGCCCTTATCAGCCTTTCCCAGAAAGGTCAGAGCTGTCTGGTTTCAGAACCATGGCCATTCCT